TTGCTACTGTCTTATAACCCAACCATCGACTAAGCTATTTCGATTTAAAAGAGTTGTGTGCCATTTATACATGCATATTAAATTTGTTGGAATAATTTTAATATTCCTAAAGGAATTGGCCCGTGAGAATTATTCGCATAAAACAGATTTTGTATTATATTGATTGTTAAGAAGCCAATCCGGACAAAGAATCATTCAGCTTTAATGATTGGGAACGTTGTATTATATTTCAGTGATACTAGTTCGTTGATTGGATTAATATTTTGTTCAGCATTCAGAGGTCAAGGCATTGCATTTTTATGAAACTAATATTTTACCTCAAGAAACGTGTAAAGGAAAATTGAAGTTGATCGTCCTTATTTTCATTGATATATTTAATTAACTTCCGCAGAGTAAGAGGTATAAAAAACAATTTTTCGAAATATCGAGCGAACGCAACGTTGGGTGGATTCTCATTGCTTGTTAATATTTAAGGCATGCCGTGTGCGCATTTTCCATTCGGTAGATTATAAATTTGTTCATGGATCTAAGCCTATTTGAAGTCGGTAATATAGTCAAAATTTTAATTTCAGTTCTAACCTTAAGAGAATCCGGGACATTTATTTTTCGCCATATCAACGTAGTGGAGGTTAACACAGAATTTAAAGCATTTGCTAACAGGGTGGACCTCAATTTTGATACCATCTTTCCACTTTGTGCTAGATTAGGGTCCTTATTTTCTTTTGTTTTCTCTTGATCGTATCAAGTAGGTATTACATCACCACTACTATTCGCTACTTAAACGGTGGATTTAATTTATTTCAAAGTTATAATTTGCATTGTTTGTGCTGGATTAACTAAAGAAGGTATAATAAACAGTGAGCCTAAGCACGAAAATTAAAAGCATGCAAGTAGCCTATAGTAGGAAATGCTTATTAGTTGCTTATAGGAATATTAGGTATGTTGTAGGTGTAACAAAGAGATTATGTGATATATGAAATTATATACCTACAATATAATGCTCACCTAATAATTAATATACAATGAAGTAATTCCGAAAGTAATACCACTTTGAGCTTTATTACACGATAATAAGCAACTTGCCACTTTGAATATTAGTCTTTATCGAATAGTCTTAAATTATCGTTGTTAGTGATAATTTGATTCAAGTTTTTATGTGGTACTACCTAAGGCAATATATTAAATTGTCTGGAGCTCATGTGCAGAATACTTTGTCTAACGTCTTTAAATAACTTTAAAGAGAGCCAGTTATAATAGGTACAGCGTAGATTAACATTATGATGCGGTGGACATTCGTATAGGTATTTCATCTTTATTCTGGTAAATTATGGTTGTAAATATTTATAGTCAAGAATATGGCTATAATCTAGACATTCTGAAATAATAAAATTGATTATCTTCGTTTGCAATCTTTTTTATTTGCTAATGTGAAAGAAGAATAGGCACTAATTGTTATGAGCTTTCAAAATTTTCTTATATAATCACATTCCAATATTTATATCAATTTAATGTAGGTGCGCGTGATTTTCTTATGATCAACAGCAAGAGAAATCTGCAGATCTAACAAATAGGTACAACGATATCGAGGCATAGAACTTTCATATTTACTCAATGTTAGGCTGTAATTGATTTCAGATTGTGGCCAGATTATAATATAAACTACATTGCAAAGATGCTGTCCAAAAGGGTTATCGGATTATAGGGACTTTCGTGAACGTCTTTACTGACAACGTCCTAAAAACCTAACGAACGGAGAGGTCCTTTAACATGTTGGGAGATCATCAAACAGCCTTGCTTAGGCGAAACCCAAGCTGGAGCTGAGCCTACAAACTTAAATATTTAACTGCGGAAACATAGGGAGCAGATTAAAAGGAGCTATAGAAAGAGATTTTGTAGCTCAATCGATTTCGCTTCCCCTGTGTCTCACTAAACAAAGATTATTACTATCCGGCCAATCCCAGAAGAGTCCGTAAAATCTACATGGACTCTTTAAACTCGTTGCACGTGCTTTAAAGACTTGATTCTACACTTGTTTCTTAAGTATACTATATTGATCAAACTTTTTAACATTTATACATGGCGAAACATCGGTAATTTATTACTGCAGATAACTCAAAGTTCGACCAATTAAATCAAAGTAAGCCTAAACCATCTGTCGAAATTAATTTTTGAACAAGCAATCCACAATTGAAGAAAATTTCCAATCATCTCTAAGAGTAAATTATTTTTGAATTTTTTTTATTGTATACAAAAATAGAAGTCCAGATAAGTACAAGTAAAATACAAATGTATTAATAATATAATGCTTTAGCTTGAAAATTTAAATCCGTTCCAGACAAAGTGGATTAAGAATGATCAAAGATCTGTTAAATCTGATAAAATGTAGCCAAGCTAAAGGTTTCGCTACTTAATATATACCGAATTTGTAACTGCACGAACGAATATCACATAATAGTATCTAAATAAAAACGTAATTTGAAAGAGAATTATACGTTTGTAAATGTTTCTGTTGTAACGGGAATCCGTTTAGGGGTTAGGAATTTTCTATCTACAAAGAATGGTTACCTTTTTGTTGCCATTCCGTTTTCCGCTGCCTTCAAGAGTACCTGACCAAGAATGTTCTAATAACAAAATTGCAATTGCAATACTATAAAAAAGGTTTAAGTATAACTTACGTCCAAAATAGAGGCCAGAGCGACTCTTGAGTTCTTAAATTCTCAAAAGAAAACTTCTGATTTCAGAAGAGCAGCAAGCCTCAATAAGATACTAGAAGATTTAGGTATAGCAAACGTGAAGGCATTGACTGTTCCGGAAACTATCGTTTAAATAGTGGAATATAGACCAGATATTAAATTATAATCAATTATAACGATATTCAATGAGTAGACATTTCCTAAATCTTACTAGTTTGAGTACAAGTAGATTACCTTAGTACACTTCAATAAAGATAAATCATTTTTACCATTATTTGATTCCTAAACTATTGGGGTTAGAATGTGATAGGATAGGCCCTATTGTATTGAGCAAAGTTCTAGGTAGCACTTTCTAATCAAAAGTTGTCTTTCAATGAAACACAAACCTCAAGACCTTTAAGACTTTCTTAAATTAAATTAAATTAAATTAAGTTAAATTCCTCACTACAGGCCCACATAAAAAAATCGTATACAACTTAATCATTTTCAAACTATACTGCATTCATTATAAGAAGGTAGTAGATGGCGCTGTGTTTGAAGATAAACACACACAGGAAAAATATAAAACGGCACCAAATTATTGTAAAGTAGAAATATTCAGCACTCCCGAACAGAAATAAACCTTTGACAATAACAGCTAATGACACTTCGGCAGTTTAGTTGGCAACATAAACTACCACCTTACAAAATTCACCAGTCGTTTTATGTTTCATTGTAATACTGACTCGTGTTTTAACCAATCACAGTGAAGATCAAAGCTTCCCTATGCTTTCTACCGCTACCTTCTTAAAATGAATACAATATAGTTCAACTAACTTTCGGAATCTTTAAGAATTCTTCTTGTTCTTGAAATTCAAATGATCAAAAATAAAATTTTGCAACGCGCTAGTGAAGTCGGTTCCTTGCTGTTACCAATACAATAAAAAAAATTACAGTGTCTTAAACATACATAAATGCTAACGTCTATATTCTTCACTCGTTCAACCTCAACATAGTGATTGATCCAGTTCTTGAACCGGGAAGATCGAAAAAACTTTCTAGATTTCATATAAGGAATTGGGAGTTCAACTCCTATACAGAGGTAAGCCGGCGCCCCGGTGGCAAAGGTCAATAACGTATGAAAATGTTTTATTATTCCCGAAATCAGACAGTTTCAGAAATCAAAGGATCATATAACACGAAGTTCATGCTCAACCTTATCCCGTTACAATATAAATGTCAATTTATCTAGTAAACTCCCGTAACAAAAACCTACTAGCTACTACTGCTGTAAACGAAAGTCGCAGACTTGCTCTTCCACAAAATTGCAACATCTGATTAGCAATTACAACCTACGTACACGACATTACAGCCATTGTCAAGAAACTACCCTCTCAAATTCCTTCATCCCGCATATCTCAACAATACTAAAAGTGTTAGTTTGAACCGGCACAGGAGGTGACGTACAAAAAGTGTAGTAAAAATTGGACTGTCGGCTGGCTTCGTTTGTAAGTCATATACCGTGTGTTCCAGGTTGAACGCGCCATAGGCAAACCGAGTGAATGTATTTTGCCGCGAAGGATCCACGAGGTTTGTGTTTGAAGTTAGCGTTCAACGTACGTTATTGCGCTTGCCTGATGCTAGAAAGAGATTGGAGTAGTACGTAGGCGAAAAAATACTTTGCCGTTTCCCTATGGTGCGTTCTACCTGGGATACACTGTATGTATTTCGATATAAGATATCTCTTTCTATCTAAATTGGGTATTTTATCTGTGCCTCTAGGTAGGTACTCAATTTATTCAATCTTGGAAGCCAGAAAAAGACAAATGTTGGCGGTGATATTAATAACGATCTATAGTTTTTGCAAAGTTCCATGAATGACGCCCTTAAGCCAAAGTTAAATGGCAAGCTCATCGACTCTTTTAGGAAGTTTTGGTAAGTATTCGGAAATTACCAATTACGTTTTATGCGAATTCTTCCGCCGATAATTTTTTTGTAAACTTGAACGTTTTTCAATTATAAATGACTGTTTTCTCGTAAATTGGCGTTACTGTTACTCAGTGAGAATCAAAATTTGCAGTATAATAATATTAACGGGATTTAAAATTCAACCACCTATCAGTTGCACCTACAGGGCTTATGGAAAGACCACGTTCAACAGTTTAAAGTTTCCTCTTATAATCCTTATTAAATATGCTATTGAGACATGAATACAAATTAGGCGTTTAATTTATGGCAATCTATAATGAGATATTGTATAGTAATTATCAAAATCAATCTAGAACGGGCAAAAAAAGTTGAGACAATAAAATTTTTCGCGATACTTACCAGTGGTATTTTTCTAACAGTATCTTCACAGGTGTCTTTAAATTGTTAATAGACAAAATCTACCAAGTTAACCACTTACAGTAATCCATAAATTATCACCAAAAAAATTTAAGCACATCTTCAATAGCACTAGTTTATATTAATTTAGTGATGTTAATGGGTTAGAGCGGCGAAAAACGAAGACGGCTAGACTTTGACTTGAAGAACGATTGAGATAATTAGTGTGATAATTATTTAATTGTGACCACTTCATATACAATCTATGTGAAGACTGAAGATCCATGAAGGTAAACCTATCGGCATGACCCCCTCCCACTTTTCTTTATTTTCTCTAAAAGCACGCTCCCCCCAGTTCATTCATATCTTTGTACATTATTATAATAGTAATTCATTTGTTATGCTTTCTCCGGCACATTTTATGCACCTCCGATGTGACATTTTACCAATAAATCCTAATTTTTATAAACTGGCGATTGTTTCCCCATTATCATTAGTGATTCTAGTCTCCTCCGATCGTTGTAATTACAAAGCTTTTCTTATGCATACGAGTGTAGTATAGGTGTGTCTAGGTATAACTGTGAATATTTGATGTTTCTCATAAATTTCAAGTTAAATACACTTATAAGCTTTACATTCTAGCACTACAAATCAAAAGTGTTCACCGAAACACAATATATTTGTAGAGGAAATTAATTGTGACGGTAACCCTTACGGTCTAACAGCGATTGTCAATAATATAAGAAATATGTATTACAAAATCTTCGCGGGACATAGAAGTCATTAGGTATATGCAAATTTAAGAATAAAGATGTCAAAAGTATCGGTTACATCTGTTTTGTATTAAATTTCTAATAAATATGAAATCTCCCCACCAGTAAGTACAATAAATTACGAAACTACCGTTTAATGCTAAACATACCCAACACCTACGTTACCAAAATTATTGCATTTTCTTACCTAAATTTGACATGCGAGCTATGCGTGTATAAATAAGGCTACGAGAGCAAAATGTTACGCGGTGGAATGCAATTTTTCTAAGGAATTTCATTATTTCCACAATTAGTGATTTCCGCTATCATCGCACAAGAGTCGCTTCCGACGTTTCTTCTTGACCCATTCTCTTACACTTTGTATTCTAATCTGGTATAGACCGATTAAGAGTTATCTTCGAATGCTTTAGCTGCTTTCTCCTAAACCGATCGCGTCTTCGGTAAATGGAATGAAGTAAAAAAATGTGTACCTACACCTACCGGTTGAACAAAATTTGAATGTTAGGCCATGGTATCTATTAATGAATAAACATACTCGAAGGAAGATATTGATCTTGTGCGGTAACTCTTTTTCCTTGCAAAAAATATGCGCGAGAAGACGATTTCTGGTATGCAAAAAATGCCAACATTCTTTTCGGTAATAAGTTACGCCCATACCATTGACATCAACTTATAAAAACTGATTCGTAATTAGAAGCCGTTTAGAAAATCCACACTTCCCTGCGGGGAAGACCTCTTAAAACCACTACATACGCCGACTGTGAAAATTACTGAATTTGCACGCGTCCACATTTGACTTATTGAAATCTCAGAAATTCGAACTGCCGGTACTAAAAACTTTCTTGAAATTATAGCATGTACTTTATTTATGGTTAAGTGCGCCATTTATATTTAATGGGCTCTGCCTATTTTGTAATTTAAACTGAAAGAATTTTAAACTACAATTTAATAATACAGGCACGCACTTTTCGTCTATTATATAAAATGAAAGTACTTAACTTTCATTGACTTTTTTTATCAAAGTAGGAAGGTACTGCAACAGAATTTTAAACGCGTTCAGATTTTTGGTGGTACTTCAATTTAATTGAAAGTGAAATTGTTACCTAAGTGAACGCTATATTTCTTGATCAATGCGTTATCGATGCTTAGGTTAGCTCTAACACTTTTTTTTAATGAATACGTCTGATGGATTTTTTTAATTACATTTTGACATTGGATCAGTGTCCGATTGTTCAGAATTTTTCGATACAATTAGTTTTTGGCCGTTTGTTAGTCCTATAACGGGTGACCGTTGAGCGAGAGTTGGAGAGATTTTTACCTTGAGATATTTAGCCGCCTTATTTAATTAGTATTTAGTTAGTACGCCGTTATTTAGAGCAAGCGAGCAACCCGTCTCACTAGGGTAATAATGAATTATGCCAAGTGTTTTCAGGTGTATTTTTCAAGGAAGTGTAACGGTTTATTACATTTAAAGGGGTTGACAACCTCACCTGCATAAAATAAATTCTAATCTCGACGACACTGGTAATTTACTGCAGAATTAATTTTTTGGGAAATTTTTTGAAAGAAAAAAAATCCTCATGTGTTTTTTCCGTCTATCCGTCTGTTCCTCGTCTAACTCGAGAACGAAAAGAGACAGCGTAAAAATTCCCCTATTGAAAATCGTATCCGATTCTTCGTATCTTGCTCGTAATGAAATAATCCACGGATAGCTCAGTAATAAAATAATGAACTTTTAACGACTCTTGCATTGTAGAATGTTGGTTCTTTATTTCTCCTTACGATCTCAAAATCAAAACCTGATGATCTGATTTGACCACTCTCAAATAAATACTCATGTAAATTAACTTATTTGAATATATTGATGGAAATAATATTATTCCAACTCCTCCATTTTTTTTACATTTTTCATGTTGATGTAATTCATGCAACAAATACAAAATAAAATTTCTTTTCCTGCTCGTGATTACGTTTCAAATCTAATTAATTATCTAGATCTTTTAAAATTCGTAATTAATTCAACGCCTAGTACATTGTCCTATTCAAAAGATTTACACACTTCTGGATGCTAATTAAAATGTGACCCACACAAAAGAATGGTATCAATGAACTCAAAATTCAGCTTAGCAATTAATGAGAAAAACCACCAAAGTCTATTGTTTTGGTCCCCTTATCATTCATAAAAAATATGCAAATCTGTTCACCGAATAAGCTTCCGTGGGTCGATTTCTTCAGGAATGTTAAAATAACTTTAATCCCCAAAACGATTGACTGCTGCTTTTATACAATGCATAAATTTCAAATAACTTACATTTGTCGATAAGTCGAAGTTTTCTCATAATTGCCGTCGATCTTCTTCTTTCGAAAGGTAGCAGCAATTCGGAAAACTGAATGGTGAAACACATAGTGCAACAGAAATTCCACATTTTGTATCGCACGGTATGGTAAATTTGCCTATTCGTTGAAAGTGAGTTTTGAAAGATGGTTGACGATTTGGATCAGGGGCAAACTGGGCGTTTAGGTTTTTGAAATTTAGTAATAATTGAAATTTTTTCCACAGGAATAATGTAACAATGTCCCGCAGTATAGGAAGCGTTCCCCTTCGATACCTTAGGTTTTGACAACTAGGAAAAGCACTAATTAATTGCCTTTAAACTTTTTGCCGGTTGTCGTTCAGTCCAGAATCATATTATTGCCCCGTATACACAAAAGAGCCGCAGATTTAGTTAGTCAACTTCTTTTTTATCGTAACTAACCACTCTAAGTAAAAACGCAATAAAACGTTCTGTACTTTTGACCACAGTGCTTTCATGGTAAAAATTTATTTTTCTATTTCGATGTTGAAACAATACCGAAACCGTACTTGATTGGCCCAGTTTGCGTGCGTTTCTAGACAGAAATGATGCCGAAAGAAATAGAAACGCATTATTTTTTTATTTTGTTGGATTGGTACCCCTCGCTTTTTTGCTGTCAACGGTATCCGTCAAATCAAAACTAAACATAACCTGTAAAGTGTAAATAACGTACGAGGAACTTGACCGATTGTATTAATTCCGATTAATTTTGAATATATACTCCAAAGGGTAGAACTTTTTTTATTTTTACTTAGCGTAGTAAAATATGCCAGCAGTACATTCTTGCTTACTTTTTGAACTCCTTCTCGGCCAGCCAGTTTTCAAAAATGTTGTACTCCTCGTACTTTACTTTCGATTTTACAGGCAGTAAATTTAACGTCGCTTCATTGGCAATCTCTTGGATCTCTGGTGGGGTACAAGAGACGTGTTTGTCATCCGTATTCATCATAACTGCCGCAAAATGGAATTATGACCAAATAATTAAAAGTTTGAAGTTTGAAAATACAGGAATCAGGTTAGCCAATTTTAACCAAAGATTCAAGACAAACATATCGCATATTTTAAACATCAGGTATTCGCATGCGGAGACTGCGCAATGCTAGGTTTCTTATTTATAAGAATATTTATTCATAAACTTATTTTCCTTTTTACGCATAAATCGCCCGTTATTATATAGGTAACCTTTCGGGAAGTACTGATCAATGCATGGATTTTCGGTTAGAATTGGAACTACATGCGAATATCTCGAAAACGGAGTATCGAGAGTCGGCATACACAAAGAGTTGCTGTTTTCAGAGTCCCTTTGAATGAAACAACGTGGACGTGTAGCCTGTAGGATACTGAGACAGTTTTATGAAATATAATAGACTTTCGCTGCCACAACGCAAAGTAGTTTAAAACAATAATTGCTGCATGTAGCTAGATTAATGGTTATTGGCCAGTAGAAATATTACTTTCTATTTCTATATACCTACACCGAAAACTACATTTTCGGTTTGAATCAGGTTAATGGGTAAAGAGACAATGTAACTTGGACATCGTGCGCAATCAGTCACATTTTATACTAATGGGAAAGTACCTACTCTTTCATCCAAAAATTGTTACTTACTATTCAAAACGTTCAACTAAGCTGCAATAATGGACGCGATCGTGAGCTACATAGCCAATGGAATTTCAGTGCGTATACACTTGCATCCGCTATCCATACATTAGCTGTAGTTAAATGTAGTATGTGAAACAGGTAATTACGTTTTGAAAGTAAATTTTTAAGACATTATGAAGAAAAACGGACTTAGCAGTTAGCAGTCTACTTAGTGCATATAATTATCATATTGCTGCGCATACTTCCTCAGTCAAAGGTTAGAAAACCTATTTTTTCGGCATTGGAGGATAGCAGATGCCTCTAATAAGTTATCCTCCGATACGTATATTTATCTTGAATAGTGCCAATTAATACTGTATATACCAGACGTCAGCTCTCCTTTAATTCAAATTACATAACGATCTAATAATGACAAGATCAAGGGATAATCAATCACAAATTGCGTTTTAAGTCGTAGATCCAAAAAATACTTGACTGATAACATTGCATCAAGTCATTTTGAGTTTTCGGTCCAGGTTTCTTATTTGTATCT